CACACACACACACACACACACAAAAAAAAAATATCCTGACTAAGGGATTGGACATGAAACAAATTTTCAATAGGGTGCTTTCATTTGTTATGTCAATTTTGTAGCGCATTTAAAGAATCCATAGAAATGCACATATGTCACACCCCTGTTTCATCAAGAAAAGGTAAAGAGTTTATGTAAAATCAGAACTTGGTTATAACAGGTTTTGATTATTAAAATAAGAGCTGGGAAGTGGAAGAAGGTATTCGGACATCTGATTTTGTTTTGAAAGTAAGAAAACAGTACTATGTTGAATTGGAACTGACTGGTGCTGAAGTCTGTGCTGGAGGACTTGATCACCATGCATAATTAAACATACCTCTCCTATATATTTACTTATTAAGTAAAGAAGTATACATATCTTCATATCAAAGATAAGATTGTGTGATTTGGGCAAGCATGCCATACATTTATTCGGGCAAGAATTTACATTTCTTATTGCTTTCACAAGGGGTTACAAGCATCATTCCAGAATGAAGAGAAGGATATTGCGCGTAATTTAGAAACACCGTATCACTCTAGCTGCACAAGGTAGGGTTAAGGGTGCGTACATACTACTTATACGGTATGTTGTTGTTGTTAGAAACACCCCATCACAATTCTTGCCATATATTGTTCAAGGAGTAGCAGGAAGCTTGTACTACAAACAATATCAAGGATTCGTTCTCTTTCCAATAATAACTATGAGGTCTCTGGTTCAACTCCCAACGGAGACAAAAAAACACTAGGTGATTTTTTCCTATCTCTTTAGCTTTAATTAAGTGAGGGTTCATATAGCCGATCCCAACTTGTTTGGGACTGTGGCATGGTTGTTGATTTCTTCCCATCTGCCAAAGTGTTGGTGGGTAGAGTTGTTCGATACCTGTGCTGCTGGGAGGTTGTAGGTATACGGTGGAATTAGTCGAGGTGCATGCAAGCTGGTCCAGACGCCACCCTCATAAAAAAAGCAGCAGGTGGCACAAGATTGCCATTATGGTTTGAGAAATGACCAGTAGAAAACCAGGCTGGTGGACTCTTCTTTTGGAATGGATGTCAGTTGCTGGCATTTGACTATAGTGCTTTGGTGCATATATGAGGTGCAGATAAGAATTTTCTATGGAAAATTTGAGATACTTTAAAAGTTGAGCAAATTTGGATAACACATGAAAGAACATTTTACAGACCTTAAGGAATCAGTTAATACATGAAGAGCAGTTTTTGAAGCAGTATAAAGCACCTGGCCATGGTCCTGGAGCATAACACTTTCCATATCTTTTTCTCTGGACTCTCACTTTCAAAGGAGGCATAAACACAAAGAGGTCAGAGCACTGAAAATAGAAACACAATTGCAAAGAAAATTCTAATGGTCGCCAAAATAATAATTTTCCTCGACGCATAAGCATTATTTAGATGGCCTTTTAGATTTTATAGTCAAACTTCTCTATAACAGCCTCGTTTGTTCCGGATATTTTTGGATGTTATAGTGAATTGTTGTTATAAAGAACATATATTATAACAAAACATGACATTTGGTTCCGAAAAGATTTGGCTTTTATAGTGAAGTGATGTTATATAAAAATGTTGTTATAAAGAGGTCTGACTGGAATTTCTCAAATATAAGCTTTAAGAGAAAAAAGAAAAAGAACAAGGAGCTGGCATGCAAATTTTAAGTAGAAATGCGATTCTGAAAACTATATGGGGGTAGTAACACTTTTTTACGTTTTTGTTTATCTTGATTTGATGTGAAGAGGGTTCTTTTACGCCATAATTCATATCTATAGTGGAACTAAAGAATATTTACATATGTATTCGGGATGAAAAAACCCCAAGCGATAAGTAGAACTGACATGTATAATGTAGTTCTCTCGAAAAAGGCCAATTTTTTCACTCCCCTAATTCTTTGTTTATCAATTTGATTTCAAAAAAATATCTTTTTTGTATATATATACATTTCTGTATGTTATTTCCCAAATTTTATATATTTTTGCGGCTACTAGATGTAAATAATTTCAGCCGCGCGCTAAAAGTGATCTTTGACCTTGCTCATTTTAGTTCGTTTTTATCTTATTTAATCTTTTTCCAAATATTATCTTCATGAAATGAGTTTCCAATACTTTTGGAAGACTAGATCTTTTGCAATATTTCGTGTATAAAAGAAAGAATATGCTAGTTAAAGGCCTTTTTCTTGGTTCAGGAATCTAAGCTAGGGACAATTCTACATTATAAACAGTTTTGAGGTAAAACTTGTTTAATCATCACGAATCCGACAACAAAATAAGAGCCAATTCCAATAGAAGGAAACGTGATATCACGTTATTTTTCATTTCTTTCACCATCCTGTGTATTACATTCATGTAAATCTTTATTCTAAACTGAACCAAGAAAAGAATTTGCTTATCAGATACAAAAACCACACCTGAGCAAAGTTAAAATTGACATTAAGAATCTAAGAATGCTGTCTGTATCAACACTTCATTCGTTTCCTGACAATGAAATCTTTGATAAACAGTGGAAGGTGGTACATGATTGCAGCAATAGTAGATAAATGGCCAGTAGAAAACCAAGCTGGAGGTTTCTTCTTCAGCACGGCGTTCACCGTCCTCTTTGCAAATTCTTCTGCAGGAGTTGATCTTGGCCCTTGTGAGAAATGTGCTCGTGCCCGGATTGCTTCTTCAAATTTCTTGTATAACTTCCACTCTGGCATTCTACTGTAATTGGCAATGGCAGAGTTTCCAATGTTTGACATAACAGCTCCGGGGACAACAGTGATGACATCAATTCCAAATGGCCGAAGTTCCAGCCTACAATAACGCATCATAGAGCTCTAGAATCAGGATATAGTTTTACCAACTTATAGGTGCGATGATAATTGAGGAGATGATAGAAGCACATCTGCTATCGTCCCAAGCATCTGAAAATCACCCAGCATGCTACTGCAATAAGCTCCTCGTTTTTATTGCATAAAATGCGATCTTTATAACTTTGAAGAAATTATTGGCTCTTCATACTTAACTATTCTCTCACAACCTAGAATAAGTATAGAATAGAATATTCTGGTGAATGAATGAATCATTGCTCAACTACTAGTATCCCACTATCACCTGCTTAGAGTTGGGGCTACATAAGCCAGCTACATCTTTCTGTCAAATGCTAGAAAAGTTGATGTCTAAGCTTTGAGCTATTATTCTAGTCATACCTGCTGGGACTTAGGTATACAAGTCGGCAAGGTCTTTCTGAGACAGGCTACTCAAGTTGACATCCTTACTGTTGAGCTATTACACCATAATCTACCCGATAGCTCCTTCTGTTTAATCTTCTGTTTTCCTTTGCCTTGCACGGTCGTAAAATCCAGAATAAGAGGGGGATGGTATGGATGTTGTTAAGGAATTCTCACCCTGCAAATCTCTTTAAGCATCCCCCGTACTCATCAACAGCCTCCCATCATTAGGATGGAATTCTCACCTCAATAAAGTTTCCAACTTAGCATCTTTTCAAAGATTTGCATTAACTTTCAAAGTCACCCAACTATTTTCCATAAACTCAAAGTTGGATTATCTGAGAGAGGATATGTAGACAACTAAAAAGATAGAGAAGGAGTCCGCTGTTGGAGATGGTAGAGGACAGTCAAATGGATGCGAGAGGAGTGCAGGTCCTTTTTGAGAATAACCAAAAGTAAACCATTCTTCGTTCCCAAATTAAATGTCCTGTTTGACTTGGCATTTCCATTAAGAAGAGTTAAAAACAGGACAGACTTTTTTGAGTGTGAAAGAGGTAAAATCTGAGGTTGCGTATTGCTAACTCTACTATTAATTTTTCAAATTTGAAATAGCTTAAAGATTTTTTTTTTTTGAAAGAACTGTAAGAAGTGGACCCTTAATGTTCTAGAAACTTCTCTTTTAGGAGGGTGAAAATTATTGTAGCATAGCACACAAAGAGGAAAGGTGACATTCAATCTGAAACAGAGGATGCCAAATCTCACTTTTTTAATCAGCTAGGGTAACATTTTTCATATTTCTTGAGACGGAGCATTTTCATATTTCTTTTCATAAGCAACCTGTTCAATTATGATAATTTAGGATCTGGATACAATAGCCTCACTCAGCGTACAACCATGAAGGAGTCATTTTCTTGGTTATCAACTAAGAACTATCTCTACCAAGCAAGGACTACTTAACATAAAATATATGTAAGCCTTAGAAACACAAGAATGCAAATACAAGTCCATAACAATATCTCTCTGTGATGTTATCAGCCTATAACACGGTCTCAGTGTCTGATTTACTCTCAAACAGGGTACTAACCAGGTAACAGACTGGACCTTGGATTCCCATTTTCAGCCATATGACTTAGTATGTTGCAACCTGGGCAACAATGTGTTCTACAGGACTACTCCTTAAAAAGATTTATTGACAACTCTTCAGCGTAACGAAAAAGATACTTATGAAGTCAAAAAGTTTGATCAAAGGAGGAAAACAATGAAAAAGGGCAGCCCGGTGCACAAAGCATTACGCGCTCACACAAGGTCCTGGGAAGGGCCGTACCCCAAGGGGTGTGATGTAGGCAGCCTAAGCCTACCCTGATGCAAGCATCAATGGCTGATTCCATGGCTTGAATCCTTGACCTATAGGTCACAAGGAGACAACTTTACAGTTGCTCCAAGGTTCCCTTCGAGGAAAACAATGCCGGAAAAGTAATTTAGTTCG